ATCCATCTCTCTCTATCTCGTGTCATATCTGTTTCTGTCTCCTGTTGATTCTGTTATTCTGTTGATTTCTGTTATTCTATTTCCTGTTGATTCTGTTTTTCTGGAGAATTCTGTTTTTCTGTAAAAACTGGAGAGTCAAGCATTGCAGGCAGGTCCGATGTGGCTCCTGTTACATTTATGCTAGTTTGGAGTTTCCTGCACATGGTAGCATTTTGGGGATGGCAGCATCAGTCAGCTGCCTGCGTATGCTGAGTTAACAACCAAGGCCTGGATGAAAGGGCTCCACCTCCGGAGCCCATCCCACTGGTGTCGCTTGCTGCAGCAGGCCTGGGCCTCTCTGTCTGGGGTCCCGGCCAAGGAGCGGGAGTTTCTGGAGCAGGCCATTCCCTGAGTGGAGAGGCGGAGTGATGGCGGGCCCGTGGTGGATGGTGGGCCACTCCTTTGTCCGAGGCTGGGGCCCATGTGGCAGTGGGTATCCTTGTTGGGGGCCCTGCACGAGGGCGTGGAGGGAACTGTGGGAAGTCATTGACACCCTGCACAGGCACTCACTGCCCCCCCGACCCAGCTCCTCCCTGTAAACGCTGATGCCTGTGCAAAGCCCAGCTGAGCTCAGGTCACACTGGGCCTCTTGCCCACAGCCTTCCTCTCAGTGTGTCCTGACCATGGGACCCAGCACCTAGTTTCCTGAACCACACCTCTCTCTCCTCTGGGCCCCTCCTGGTCTGTCCTTTTCTGGCACCCCAACCTGATGTTCTAGAACTGGACTTGCCTCTTTGTGCAGAACTGTGTGCCCATATCCAATTCCTGACCCCCTGACCCCCAGGAGGTCAGAATGTGACTGCACTTGAGACGGGTCTTCAAAGAGGTGATTAAATTACAGCGAGGTCCAGGGTGGCTGGAGTCCCCATAAGAAGAGGAGATGGGGATGCAGACAGGCATAGGGGATGGCTGAGGGAGCCCACGGGGCAGACAGCTGTGCACAGAGGAGAGAGGCCCCGGGACCCAGGCCTGCTTCCGCCTGGACCTTGGGTCAGACTTCAGGTGGGAGGGCACCCCGGTGAGCTGGCCAGGTGGCCTGCGTGGACTATGTGAGAAACACGCTCACTGGTACAAATTCAATAAGAGGGCACGGAGACAAAGAGAACAGCGCAGCGAGGCTTTAATGACGGTCTTGCAAGATCGGGTGTCTGGTGGGCAGGCACACCTGGGGAGTTTGGCACCAATAATTTATCTCCTAGTACCCGAGTCTCTCCCCTGGTTCCTCACTGGCTGGGTACTACAGGGTTCACATTCTTTCCTGGATGTCGCCTAAGCCAGTTATAGCTTTCCTTTACATTTGTCTTAACTTTATTGGTAGGTTTAAAAAACTCAAACAGGGATAGCGAGGCCCTTATCCATCCCCCCACACCCACTCTCAGCGTGAGCAGCTTCCACCAGTGGCCCTTTGTTAATACCTTACTGTTAAAATGTTAAACATCCTAGTGGGAATAAATCACATTTAGGTTTTATATTCTTTCCTAACAACTAGTACACACACAGAACAGTGAGTGGCTTCGAGGCGTGGCCGGTATGGAAACTTCCACACCCAGCGCCCAGGCTAGGCCCTGCTCCCCGTGCCTGCGTGCCCTTCACCCCTCAGCACCGTCCCTGGCTGCCCTCCTCGTCTGGGGGGAGCTGCGGGGGCTGGGGGGCTGTGCCCTTGGCTGGGGAGCCGCAGCCGGGAGGGCCGGATTCTGGGGGTGCGAGGGGCCCCTGAGCAGGCTCCAGCAAAGCAGGACACCCCGGGCAGTCACGGCTTCTTCACGGGGTTAGTGCCCAAAGGAAGAGGCGGAGAGGACAGGGAAGAGCTCCGGGAACCTGGAAGAAGGGAGGGGCTCCCGGGCTGGAACCGCGCGGCTGCCTTTGAGATCCGGGTGGGTCCTGGAGTCCCGGGGCCGAGTCTCCTCCCCAGAGGCGGCCGGCCTGGTGTGGGTTCTCCAGGACAGGAGGGGGGAGGCAGCCCTGGCCTGAGGCTGGGTGTGGGGCCTGGCTCTGCGGGTGGTTCCCAGGCCTGGGAGCCCTGGCGGATGGTCTCGGTCCTGCCAGTCCTCAGCAAGGGGGGTTCCTGCAGCGTGCCTGGGCCCTGGGGACAGGGCGGGCCAGCTGTGCCCACTCCTGTCCTCCCGGGCCCTCCACCTCTCACAGGGCCGGGCGGCCCCAGGACGTGTCCCCAGGCCTCTCTCCAGGAGGCCCGTCTGGCCAGATGCTCTCACCCCAGGCAGGGCAGCCCTGTTCACGGGGGCACCCACTGCAGACACGGGCCAGGCCTCCTCCGAGGGCGCTCTGCCGGTCTGGGCGACAGCTCACAGCACATCCGAGTGCTTGTGTGTTGGGGTGCGGCGCCCGAGGTCTCTCTTGCTCCCATGAGGCCTTGAAAATGTGCTTCCTGGCAGGAAATCCTGTGTCTGGAGCCTGATGGGTGGGCTTCCCGATGGCCGAGCCTGCCCATATGATGGTGGAGGCATCATTGCAGGGCCCCATCTGGGTGATCCTGCTCGCCAACCCTGGGCGTCCTGGGAGGGCATGCATCCCTGGTCCCTGGGCAGCTGGCGTGGAGGGGCTGGCAGGTGCCCACCAGCCCAGTGGCATAGCCTGTTGTCCACTAGGGTCTGCTAAGGGGAGCGCTGGGGCAGGATGCAGCCTGTGGTAGCAGTGCGGTCAAAAGGCAGCCATGTAGGGGACAGTGAGGCCAGAGGGTGGAGGTGCAGGTCTGGGCAGCTGGCTACTCTGCAGGCTGATGCACTGGTGCTGGCCCAGGTCCAGGCTCCCCTGTTCCCCACCTGGAGGCCTCCCTAGGCCCCCTGCACGATCATGTTCCTGTAGTCAGGGACGACTGTCCGCTTCAGCTCCACCACCGAGGAGAAGATCCATTTCACCTGCAGCAGGCGGGAGGGTGAGCACGGCCCAGGCCACCCTTCCATAACAGGCTGCCCTCCTGCACCTGAACCTCCTCACAGCACAGGAGGTGGGCAGGTGTGGGGTCAGGAGGGGGCCCGGAGGGACTGTGGGGGCATCAGGGCTGTGAGGGGCTAGGGGACAGTGCGGGGCCCATGGGTGTGGGGGAAGTGCAGCTCCCACCTTGAAGAGGGTGACGGTGGCACTGTAGCACACGCTGAGCAGGAAGAGGGTGATGAAGATGGAGATGGTGGTCCACAGCCCATCCAGCTCTCCATCCTGGGCCTCCACGCAGCTCTCGTCCAGCAGCAGGTCTGCAGAGGGAGGGGGTCAGAGCCAGGCCTGCTGGGCTCTGGGCAGCCCTGTCCTGGCCTCAGCCCCCGTTCCTCCAGCTGGGGCCCCAGGTCTGGATCTGGCCTTGGCATCCCCTTCCCTCTCCAGGGTGCAGGTGCCCAGACTGTGCAGGGTGTGGGCTCAGCTCTGCCCCACTCCTGGGACCAGGTCCCAGGGCCTGGCAAAGCCTTCTCAGCTGGGCCCTTCCCAGGGAGCCTGGGTCAGTGTTGGCAGGTGGCACTGAACCATTGCACTAGTGATGAGAGTGCTGGGGACAAGTTGGGTGGGGGTTTCTGTATGTGGGATGGTGGTGGAGGTGCCTGGCATTTGGGATGGCTGGTGCTTGAGCTGTTCAGTGGGGTCCTGTGCCGGTCTGGTCCCTGCAGATTACCCCATGGGAGGCCCGGTCTATGAGGAGTGTGGTGTGCAGGGATGTTGGTGCATCACTGTGCACGTGATCTTAGTGCTTGTGTGTGCATGTTGGTGCATGAATGTATGTGTGCAGGTGGGTACCTATATATACACATGGCCTTGTGTTTGTGACGTTTCTGCATCTCTGTGATTGTGTAAAAGGTGCTCCTGTGTGCTTGAGCCTGGTACCCTTGGGTGCAAGTTCATGTGTATGCATGTTACAGTATGTGTGTGTGTGCATGTGCGTGCCTATATGTACCTGCTAATGGGCTTTGTGTGTGTATGTTTATTGTGCACATGTTGGTGATTTCTGTACTAGTACAAGTTGGAGCATGTCTGTGCATGTTCCTGCATGTGCTTGCATGTGGGTGATGGGTGCCTGTTTGCATGTGTGCAAGTGTATGTGTGTGTACATGTGGGTGCCTATATGTGCACACGCATGTGGGCTTTTTTCTGTGTGGGTATGTGCAGGTGCATGAAGGCCTGTGTACATGCATATGTGCCTTGGTGCACGAGTGTGAGTGTACACGGGGGCACCTGTATGTGCATGTGCACGTGGGCCTGTGTGTGCATGTGTACCTTGGTGCATGTGCATGAGTGTACACATGGGGTACTTGCATGTGCATGTGCAGGCAGGCCCCTGGGGGTCCAGGTGGTCAGTGGTGTGGCCCTGCCAGGGGAACATTGGCTCTGAGCTCGGTGTCCACCTGGGCTAAGGAATGGTACCCCTGGCACTCAGCACCAACTGCCTGTGCACACTTGGGGGTGGGGCATGAGTGTCCCCATAGGGGACAGGCCTGGCCCCATGCAGGGATGAGGCTGGGCAGAGCTGCCTTCCTGAAGGAGGTTGGGGGTGTGACCTCAGAATGACTGAGGGCAAAGGAGGGCCTGTCCCCCATCCCAGGGCCAGGTGTCTCCAGCATGGGACGGAGCCACCGTGCAGAGCTCCTGGGAGAGTCAGTGGACAGCGCACCAGGGAACAGGGCCAGGCCGGCGTCCCCCAGCATGGGCTCTGAGAGAGGTGGGACACCAGTGCTCATTTCCCTGGGAGCTCCTGGGCTTCACCCATTCCCGTGCCCATGCTGCAGCCCCCAGGACTGCTGTCAGGAGCTGCGGTGCCTGGCAAAGTCCCTCCCCAGCCTCAGGCAGCCCCTGAGGTCCCAGCACCCTAGGTGGCCTGCACAGTCCCCACGCTCTGGGCCTGGGCCCCGAGTGGGACCTGCCTCCCCCTAATGGTGACAACTGCCTCAGTGTCTGGCCTGTCCCTGCCACCAGTGGGCTGGCGTTGCCTGAGCTCTGCCTCGGAACAAACCATGACAGCCTTGCAGGGGCCCAGGGTAGCTCTGGGTGCTTTATTTTGTGCTGGGCGCCCGGGAGGTATGTACATGGGGTGGGAGTCAGGTGTCCTGGAGGGACCCTGAGAGCCCTGGGAGGGGCGGGGAGAGCATTGCTCATTTACCGGGAGACGGGGAGATGGATTTCTGCGTGGAGTGGTTATGCAGGGCCTCGTGCATCACTGTGCATATGAAGGTGTCCCCCGCAGCCCATGCATTCTTTGTCAGGGAGAGCTTGCTGTAGAGGAAGTAGTCCCCGTTGTTGTCCTTCTGGGCCGGGGTGGTGCTGTAGTTGTTCTCTGACAATAGTTGGCCATTTTTCTGCCATTCAACGTCTATATCTTCTGGGTAGAAGCCTGTGATCAGGCAGGTCAGGCTTATGCGGCTGTTGCTCAGCATCTCTGGTGTTGGCGGCAGCACGTACACCTTTGGCTCCTTGACTTGCCCTGTGGGGACACGGGTCAGCACAGATGGGCACTCCCGGGGGAGGGCTGGACTGTGTGTTTGGGGTCAGGTGTCCCACGTTCACCCTCCCCACACCCTGTCTTCCTCTTGACTCCCACCTTTGGTCTTGGAGATGGTCCTTTGGGTGGGCGATGGGAGGGCTGGGTTGTTGACCTTGCATGTGAACTCCTTGCCATTCAGCCAGTCCTGGTGCAGGATGGGAAGGGCACTGACCACACGGTAGGTGCCGTTGAACTGCTGCTCCCTCGGGTGTGTCTTGGCTGTGTGTATCTCCTGGTCATCCACAAACCAGCTGAACTGGATCGCAGAGTCTTCTGAGCCCACGTCCACCACCATGCAGGTGACCTCGGGCTTTCGGGCGATCATGAGGACGTCCTTGGGTTTTGGGGAGAAGATGAAGACGGAGGGTCCTCCGGGGACTTCAGGAGCTGGTTCAGGAGACAGAGCCCAGTGCATCAGGATCTGAGCAGCCCTCCTCTAGGCACTAGTCCCCAACAGTCCTCTGCTGGGGCTGGGCCACCCTCCTAGGGGTGGAGGGAAGACCTGGCTGACTCACCTGGGCATTTGAAACACTGGCAAGGGGTTCTTGGTGTTTTGGGAACTGTGGAGAGAGCAGACTGGGGGTTACTGGAGCCGGCAGGGTGCAGACCTCGGGGAGGGCTTAGGTCAGGGCCAGGTTGAGGCAGGTCTCAGGTGGCACCAGGCAGAAAGCCCAGGGCACCCATCCCCAGGCTGGGGGTCTTTGTGGGGCTTCCCATGCCTGTCTGCAGTGGGCAGGCTCTCACCGGTCTTGTCCACCTTGGTGCTGCTGGCCGGGTGGTTTACGTTGCAGGTGAAGCTCTCACTGGACCACCTGCTGGAGGGCACAGTCACCATGCTGCTGGTGGAGTAGAGCCCCGAGGACTCCAGGACGGATGGGAAGGTGTGCACTTCGTTGGACAGGGCGCCCGAGTTCCACGACACAGTCACCGGCTCAGGGAAGTAGCCGGACACCAGGCAGGCCACGGACACGGTGGAGCCGGATGTGCCCCCGCAGGTGGGGGCCAGTGGGAAGACCGAGGGGGCTTTGGTGGAGGCTGTAAGAGACGAGGCTGTGTGACCACCCGCGTTTGCTTACTTTGGGTGCCCGGCCTGACTGAGCCCCGACGCTTGCACCCAGCTCCCAGCCAGCCTCCTGTGTCCTGCAGCCCCCAGCCCTGTCAGTGCCCTGGACCAGCCGGCCCCTTCTTTGGTGGGAGGCCTGTGTCACCCACTGCCCGTGCTCTGCTCCCTGCCGCTTAGCCCTGAGCCCTCGTCATGGCCTGTTCCCTGCCCTCCAGGCCCTGCACCTTCTGGGGCAGCCTGCAGCCAAGGCACCTGGATGGGGGACATGGTCCCTGCTCGGGACCCCTGTCCCATTCCTGGACCCCATCCTGTCCTGTACCCCACATCAGCCCTGTACCCCATCCCTGTCCTGTACCCTAATCTGCTTTGGACCCCATCCCTGCTATGGTCGCCTGCCCCTCCCCTAAATGCTGCCCCGGTATCTCCTCCTAGGCCGTCCCCTCCTGTCCCATCCCTGGGCCCCTATCCCAGGCTCCTAAATCTGTGCCCTGGGCTCTCCCGTCCCTCCTGCGTCCCTCCATTCCTGCTCCCCACCCTCTGCCGACCCAGCTCTTCCCCCATGTCAGTTATTTGCCCCTCAGTAAGAGTGGGAGCCCTGCCCTTCCCTGCCCTGCCCCTCCTCTCCTGCATGGCCCCAGCACCTCTACGCCCCAGTGTGGCCAGATGCACCCCCAGCCCCAGGCCCCGGCCAGGCCTGCCCTCGGACTCTGGGACCATCTGCTCAGCCCCAGGGCTCTGCCTGGAACCCCTCCCTCCCGCACCCCAGGCTGGTCCCCTGACACCCAGTCGGCCCCACATTATTCCCTCTGTGGCGTCCACTGCCCTCTGCATTCCCAGGAAGCTCACCCCTCCTGCTGCACTTCCCCACATGCCCTGGGTAGTAGCTGGTGTCCTGGGCCCAAGAACTGCTGCCCACCGGGTTGCTGAAAGGCTTCCTCCTGTCCGTTCAGCACCAGGCTCTTCCTGCCCAGCGACCCTCTCCAACCCCTTCCCTGACAGGCTCCTCAGGGCTCTGTCTCCTCCTTGAACCCTTGAATGGGGGGCGCTAGGGTCCCCAAGATGCCTGTGCAGCTCAGCTCTAGTGTAGTGCATACTAACTGGGACTCTGTCCTGCTCTCTTGCCAGGCACGCCTGGGGCTGCCCTCTGCTCTCCTGCCTCCACCCGAACCCCTTCTTAGCACCCTTTGCTCTCATGCAAAAGCTAGGCCTGGACCCCTGAGCTCTGCGGCCTCCCCCGACTGCCTTCACAGCCCCTGCTCCGGTCCCCTGAGTTCTTGGGGCTCTCCTGCCCTCCCAGCCCCCTTGTAAACAACACAAGCTCTGCCTGGTCCCCTGAGCTCCTGGGGCTCCCCACTGCCCTCCCAGCCTCCTGCTCACCTACACAAGCTGTGCCTGGGCCTCTGAGCTCCTGGGGCTCCCCACTGCCCTCCCAGCCTCCTGCTCACCTACACAAGCTGTGCCTGGTCCTCTGAGCTCCTGGGGCTCCCCACTGCCCTCCCAGGCCCCTGCTCACCTACACAAACTGTGCCTGGTCCACTGAGCTCCTGGGGCTCCCCACTGCCCTCCCAGGCCCCTGCTCACCTACACAAACTGTGCCTGGTCCACTGAGCTCCTGGGGCTCCCCACTGCCCTCCCAGGCCCCTGCTCACCTACACAAACTGTGCCTGGTCCCCTGAGCTCCTGGGGCTCCCCACTGCCCTCCCAGGCCCCTGCTCACCTACACAAACTGTGCCTGGTCCCCTGAGCTCCTGGGGCTCCCCACTGCCCTCCCAGGCCCCTGCTCACCTACACAAGCTGTGCCTGGTCCCCTGAGCTCCTGGGGCTCCCCACTGCCCTCCCAGGCCCCTGCTCACCTACACAAACTGTGCCTGGTCCACTGAGCTCCTGGGGCTCCCCACTGCCCTCCCAGGCCCCTGCTCACCTACACAAACTGTGCCTGGTCCCCTGAGCTCCTGGGGCTCCCCACTGCCCTCCCAGGCCCCTGCTCACCTACACAAACTGTGCCTGGTCCACTGAGCGCCTCAGGCTCCCCACTGCACTCCCAGCCCCCTGCTCACCTACACAAGCTGTGCCTGGTCCCCTGAGCTCCTGGGCTCCCCACTGGCTTCCCAGGCCCCTGCTCACCTACACAAACTGTGCCTGGTCCACTGAGCGCCTCAGGCTCCCCACTGCACTCCCAGCCCCCTGCTCACCTACACAAGCTCTGCCATGTATCCAGACCCCAGCCTCGCCCTCCTTCCATCCAGCCCCCTCCAGTGCTCTGACAGGATTGTGCAGCCCCTGGGTCAGGCCCCTCCCTTCCCACATCCCGGGTCACCTGCTACAGTCCTGCCTGGTCCCCTGAGCCCTTGGGTCCACGCCCTGCCCTCCCAGCCCGTACTCACCTGCGGAGCTCTGCCTGGTCCTTCCGCCTCCTGGGGCAGCCCCCGCGATCTCCAGGCCCCGCTCACATGCTCGTGGCCCTCCTGCTCCTGGGGGTCCATGCTCCTGGTGCCCTCCTCTCCCTCGGTCCCTCTCCCAGGTCCCTGAGCTCAGCTCGGCCCCCACATCTCCTAGGGCTGCCTCTGTCTTCTGTGCCCCTCTGGACCCCTTAGCCCAGGCCCAGCTCCTGACCTCAGCTCCCTGCTTTTTTATCCTACCAAGCAGGCTACTCAACCCCGGAGCTCTCTGAGCCCATGAGAGCCCACATCACGGTCTCCTCTCCTCGACTGTGGTCTCTTGTGGCTCACCGGCTGCAGCCCTGGGCCCCACAGCTGTTACATCTGACCATGCCCTGGCCTGGACAGGACTTTTAGGACACCTGGGGGTCTGTTCCTTCCCTGTGCTGAGCCCGCCGTGCATCAGGTCCTTGGCTCAGACCTGTGTCCATCCTTGTGTGGATCCTGTTGCAGCCCAACCCAGCCCCATGCCCCCAGCCCAGCTGGTCAAGGGCAGACCTAGGCTTGCACCCACCCAGCCCCTCACGTTCTCAAATGTCCTGTGGGGTGTCACGTGGTTCTGGCTTGGGTGAACATGCCTATGGCCCCCAGTCCCGGTGCTGGGCTGGGTGCGTGGACCCCAGGCAGCCTGCTCCCCCAAGCTAGCTCAGCTGCAGGAGTCCCTCTGGGCTCCTGAGCCTCAGTGCTGGCTGCGGTGCCCTCTCCACTCCTGTGCCCCTGCTGTGAGCTGACCCCACTCACCCCACACCTGGTCTCCACGGTGGCACGACCTCTGGGGCCCTGGGCCTTCATGGCTGCAGCTGCTGGCAGGACCACTGCTGTGTGCCCACAGCTTCCTAGGAGCTCGGCTGCTTCCCGGAGGTGTGGGCTCCCTCCCAGCAGCCCCGCAGAGACTCAGAACGGGATTGAAACTGTCTCATCGCTCCCCAGGTTCCCTTTTCTTCTGGGTGGTTTCTGTCTCAGAGGGCCTGGGGGAGTCCGAGGCTGCCTCCCAAGGGTGTTGGGGGTGGGGAGGTGGGGCCGTCAGGGACGGTGGGAAGTGGCCGTCCTGGTGCTCTGGGCTGTCTGCCTCCTGCAGGGTCTATACCTGCTGGCCCACCGCAAGCTGTGGCTGCAGCCCTACTGGGCCCCTCTTCCTGCCCGGAGAGCGAGGCAGGGCCAGGCTGTCCTGCCACCGCCTGCAGCCCACCGGGCCTTGTCCTGTCCGCCCACCAGGCCGGCCTCCAGAGGAGAAAACCCAGTCTTCCCTGAGGTCCCGGCCTTTCGCACCTTCCCGCTCCTGCTCCATCCGTGGCGCCATCTCCAAGCGAAGGAGGTGGGACCCTGTGGTCATGGGGGCAGTTGTGCTGGTCACAGCTGTCCTGGGGACACATGGAAGTGTGATGAGCTAGAACAGAGTTCACCTTGGCTACCCGGAGCTCAGCATCCCTGGGGTGGGGACAGCGTGTGGCCCCTGCACTGCTGAGTGTGAGCCGGAGCCTCTCTGGCCGGTGTGCCGGGCGTTGTCCCTCAGTTTCTGTGTCTGTGGGGCCTGTTTTCAAATGCCCTGGGCCTCAGCCTTGTGAATGAGGTGCTGTGGGCCCTGCTCAGGACACACTCAGGGTGAATGATCCCCAGGTTCTGGTCCCCCAGGCCACCCCTGCATGCCTTGTGGGCAGCTCTGCGTGTCACATGGTCAGCACGTGGGCCACCGGTCACCGGCTCTTTCCGCTGGTGGTTGCCAAGAATCACCCAGATGCCCCTCATCTGGAGTCAGGTAATCCATGTCAGTGAGTCTGGGAACTCCCTGGGGAGCGTCCAGGTGGAGGGGCTTCTACCCTAGAGCCACTGCAGCCCTGAGCCTGGGTTCCTGGAGGACCAGCGGCAGGTTGTGCATGTCACGTGGGACCTGGTGCCTCGTACTGATGGCTGAGCCCAGTCCAGACTAGCTCAGCTGAGCTCAGCTAGGTTCTGCTTAGCTTCCTTGGCGTAGCTGAGCCCAAGTCAGCCCACGTCAGCCCAGGCCAGTTGAGCATGGAGCCCAGCCCGTGGCAGCCTCCGCCAGCCCCGCGGCCCTGCCTGGTCGAGCCTGGCAAAGGAAAGGCAGGGTCACCCCCTGACCACCAGTAGCCCCGCTCAGCTCAGAAGCCCAGAGCTGCCCAAGCCAGCCCCACTCAGCAAGCCCAGCCTGGACCCTCCCAGCCCACTTAGTGCAACACGATCTGGAATGGCCTAGAGGAGCCCAGATGACCACCCTGGCCCAGCTGAACCCAGGACAGGTCAGTGATCTCCATCCACAGAAGTCTGTCCACTCCAGCCACGCTTGGCCCAGCCCAGCTCAGAGGAGTGAGCCCAGGCCAGCCTGCCACCTAGTCCAGCATAGGGACAGCTGGTTCCCTGCTGGAAGTCCCCTTTTCTCTGTGTTCCTGGGAAGCCGAGGGTGGTGGCGGGGTCTCAGGTGAGGCGCCTGGGCTGTGGCCGAGGTGCTTTCCTTGGAGGCCTAATCCCTGGCCTCTGTGCCCGGTGCATGGGCCCTCCCTCGGTGCCACGGGCCC